GTGGGGACACCGGCACCAGCCCCGTGGTGCCAAGAGGGCCCAGGCGTCCGGGTTCCTGCCCCCTCATACCCTCCCCATGTCGGGATTCACCTGCTGGGCCAGAGCTAACGCAGGGAGCGATGCCGGCACCATGAATTTACATGAGGGGCCCGGGAGAAGGAGAAGGAGGAGGAGGAGGGGAGGGAGAGACGTGTCACCAGCAGGCCAAGAGGGCCCAGGCGTCCGGGTTCCTGCCCCCTCATACCCTCCCCATGTCGGGATTCACCTGCTGGGCCAGAGCTAACGCAGGGAGCGATGCCGGCACCATGAATTTACATGAGGGGCCCGGGAGAAGGAGAAGGAGGAGGAGGAGGGGAGGGAGAGACGTGTCACCAGCAGGAACCCCCCCTGGGCCAAGGAAGGGGCCGAACAATTGCTGGGGCTTTGGTGAATTGGAAAAATAGATTTAACTTTGTGTGAAGTAATTACAGCATGTAATGTAAAAGCCCGCCCATGCCCCGGCACCCGCCGAGGCAGCCGCTGCATATTTATGGCCACTGCAGAGAGAGAAGGAAGGGAAATAACAGCTAGGAAAATATTAAGAGGAGAGCTAAGCTGCTCGGCTCCCTTGGCGGCGGACTGCAGCGGCAGAATATAAAGCAGGCTGCGTTTAGCGGGGCCGGGAGAGTCTATAATTTTGCTAAGTCGATGCAGGGAAATAGCAGCACTTTGCCAGGCTGGGCGGTGGATTATTGTTATCAGCGCCGGCGGGGAGCTTTCCCGGGAGGCCGCGGGGCCGCGCGCGCTCCGAGCGCCGGGGGCAGCCGTGGTGAAACAGGGATGGATGTGGAGGAGCCCCCGGCAGCACCGTGTCCCCACGTCCTCCCCCCATGAGGAGCCCCGAGCGGCGACCACCTCCCGCCGCTTGACTTGCGTCCGCTCGAACTCCAGCCTGGTCTCCAGCTCGCGGATCTTGGCCTCCTGCCGGCTCACCAGCGACTTGTCCACCATGGACTGCTCCAGGAACTCCAGCTGGCTCTGCAGCCCTTGCAGCTGGGGACAGGGCACCGTGTCCCCACGTCCTCCCCCCATGAGGAGCCCCGAGCGGCGACCACCTCCCGCCGCTTGACTTGCGTCCGCTCGAACTCCAGCCTGGTCTCCAGCTCGCGGATCTTGGCCTCCTGCCGGCTCACCAGCGACTTGTCCACCATGGACTGCTCCAGGAACTCCAGCTGGCTCTGCAGCCCTTGCAGCTGGGGACAGGGCAGGGTCAGCGCGGTGCCGGGCACCGCCGGCGGCAGCGACGCACCCGCGCGGCCCCGGGGGCGATGCCAGC